ATGCTGCTCCCGGACGACCCCTCCGAGAACATATTGATGCTCGCCACGGGCACGGGCATCGCTCCGTTCCGCTCGTTCCTGCGGTACCTTTTCCACGACAAGGCCACGAAGGGCAAGTTCCAGGGTATCGCGTGGCTCTTCCTCGGCGTCCCGTTCACCAAGTCCCTCCTGTACGACGCCGAGTGGAAGGAGATGCAGGCCGATTTCCCCGGGCAGTTCCGCTACGACTACGCCATCTCCGACGAGATGAAGCGCCCCGACGGCGGCCCCATGTACGTGCAGCACAAGGCTTGAGGAGGAGAGAACGGCCCAAGCAGAAGCATTCTTAGGAGGGGAAAAAACATAAAGATACAATTAATCGTCAATTCCTAGGAAATTATAGGAAAATGTTGACGATAGGGGGAAATATGGGAAAATATATGGAATCCTGGGATTAGTGAGTATTTATTTGTGTGCTTGTGTGCCCCGTCACATTCGGAGTTCCGCGCTGATTTCTTGGATCGGCGCCGGACGCCCCCCTCCGTGCCGCGCGGAGCGCGCCAGGGGCTGCGCCGGAGGTGCCGCCGAGGGGTTCCTGTGCAGATCCGCCGAGAAATCCGCGTGGAGCTCCGACGGTTTATGTTTACGCAGTTTTGTTGGTTCTGGGTTGCCTGGCGGTCGGCGCATCCTGGCAGCATCAGTTTGCAGATGCCCGTGTACATACGTGTGTGTGTGTAGTGCTCATGCCGTCTTTTGTTCCTCTGAAGGTCCAACAGCACGTGGAGGACATCTGGCCCATGGTCAAGAGCGGCAAGACGCACGTCTACATGTGTGGCCTGAAGGGCATGGCCACCGGCCTCGAGGAGGCTTTCGGCCCATGCTGCGAGAAGGACGGTATCGACGTCAAGGACTTCCTGAAGCAGCTGAAGAAGGATGGGAAGTATCACGTCGAGGTGTACTGATTTCTAGGCCTCCCAGATGGGGCCGAGCAGGTGGGGTCGGAGGATCGCGCCGCATCGCCGAGGTATCGCCGATTGGGCTAGATGTGGACCCCGATTTTCTCCACGCCGACGGCGCCGATGTATCATCGACGTCTCCGATGCGGGGCGAGAGTCCGACCCCATACATGAGCGCGCCTCTCGACGACCCCTCCTGCGGGCGCGACCCGATGTGCAGACCCCGCTGCATCGCCTTGCTGGCCGAGAGGCTTGGCCAGGCAGACTTCGGCGGACTTGCGCCACGCCCGACGATTTGTTTTCAACCTGTCGCTCCCTCCCGCATCTCTCTCACCTGCTTCTCCCGCATGCTCCTCGTCCTCTCCCTCTCTGCGCCCTCCGTGAGCGAATTCTCCCTTGTGTCCGGCGCTGCGGGCGCATGCGTCCCGGCGGGGCCTTTTCAAAAAACCGCGATTGTGTGTTTGTCAGTGACATAGAAAGCTCTGTGCAGCTCAGATTCTCCGCGCCGTGCATTGCAGCAGAGCGCCCTGTGCAGGCAACGAATTCGACGTTGCAAGCTAGCTAGCATTCCGGACCATTGCTGCGTATGCAGCCCGCGCCCTTTTTGAAGGCTCGGCCTTCTCATCCTCGCGGCAGTCTGATGCTACGCGTGCGCGCGCGGACAGAAAACACGGCACGCGATCACATGCCAAAGTTTGTGCAGCAATGTGTGTGTGTGTGTGTGCAGCCCTGTGGAATCCGGAGTTCGTAGAACCTTGCTGGCTGTGTGTATGTTGTTTGTCTGTCCGTCGGTCCTTCCGTGCGTTCGTTCGTTTGTTTGTTAGTGTAGGTGTTGAATTGTGTGTGGAACCAATTGCTTGTGAAATCCTATGTGGTTGTTTGTTAGTGTGTGTTCTTGTGTGGAACGTTCTGTGCATGCATCACGACGCGTATAATAATAATCATAATGAGCGATGACACGGGTTTCATCGACCGTCAAGTTCTAAGAAGGAGGGCACAGAGGATGGCATGGGAGGCGAGGAGAAACAGGATGCTGCGGTGGCGACTGGCTCTCTCTTGCGCACCGAGACCGCAGGGGGTAAACTCGCTGGGGACGGCACCAGGTCGGCGTGCGGACCCGCTCCAAGCCGTGACCTGGTCCGTGCTCGGACCCGCCCATGTTGGGATTCAGTCGGTCCTGTCCATCTACAGGAGGAATATTCAAGAATAGTCATAACATAGTCTGGGGACGATTTCTTTGATTATGTTCGAGCATTTAAAACATCACTTGCGGTGTATGTATATATACATATCTATCCAGCATTTTTGGTAACAAAAAACATCCAAAATCTGCCTGTAGGGGGACACGCCCGACCTGATGTTGGGACTCGGTCCACAGGCGGACCCGCTCCATGCTGGGACCTGGTCCATGCTGGGACCCCGCAGCTCGGCAGCGGACGGCTGCCCTGCATGCCTCCCGCCAATCCTTCCAGGTTCCCTCTAGGGTTAAGTCGGGCCTTTCCTTCTACAGGAGGAATATCAAAAAATAGTAAAACACATCGTATGGGGCCTATTTTTTTTGGGGGGGGGGGGGGTATTTTCCCGGAAAGGGCTTGAGCCCAGGGTTCTCTTTTAGATGGTTTCCCCCCGGGTTTGACGGGAAGAGGGCCGGCGAATTTCTTTTGCGATAAATAACGAGTGGGAAGAGGGCCGGCGAATTAAAATTTGAGGATGTCCCTAGCGAAACGCTTGTTTTTCAGAATGTGTCGAGGATGTCTCGAGCGAAATGCTGGTTTTGCAGAGTTGGGGATGTCTCGAGCGAAACGCTTGGTTTCAGAATTTGTTGAGGATGTCTCGAGCGAAACGCTTGTTTTGCAGAGCCGACCGCGACACGGAAAAGCGCCCCTCGCGCAGGAATTCTGAGGATGTCTCGCGCGTGCCGCGTCCCGCGCGCAGGAATTTAGATTTCTTGGGATTTTGAGAGGATGTCTCGAGCGAAACGCTTGTTTTTCATAATTTGTTGAGGATGTCTCGAGCGAAACGCTGGTTTTGCAGAGTTGGGGGATGTCTTGAGCGAAACGCTTGCTTTTCAGAATTTGTTGAGGATGTCTCGAGCGAAACGCTGGTTTTGCAGAGTTGGGGTATCTAACATGGCGTCGGGCCCAACGCCGAATTATGAGGAAAAGTGATGGCTTCTTGCTCTGAACAGGGGGGTGCGCTTTGGGGGCCTCTCCAGGGAAGACGTTGTGAGGATGTCTCGAGCGGGAGCGCGAATTCAGCGTATCCAAGTCAAGCAGAGGGGTATCTAACATGGCTGTCCCGAGCTGGAACCACGTGTTTTTTCATGCTCAGGCCACCCAGGGAGATCTCTAACATGATTGTCCCGAGCTGGAACCACGTGTTTTACGTGTCCAGGCCACCCAGGGGGTATCTCTCATGGTTGTCCCGAGCTGGCACCGTGTTTTTACGTGTCCAGGCCACCAACACGACGCTTGTCCCCAGCACGTTCTGTAGCGCGTCCCCTTGGCACGTCTCGCGGTGCGTCCCCGTGGCACGTCCCCTGGCACGTCGCCTGGCGCGTCCCTTGGAACGTTCCGCGGCGCGTCTTCCTGGCATAATTCCTTGTCAATTAGCTCTGCGGCAGCTACTTCGTGGACTTTGTGCTCAGGCAGCTCGAGCTTAAGATCCAGATCAGTTCGGTCAGGACTCGGAGGCAACGGAGGACTTGATCCACAACGCTGTAGAGCACAATCGCGGCATGGCACATCGCAATTCAGCACGGCGCAGCACAGCACAGCCTTCGGCACATTACATCAAGATCGGTACACTCACTCAGCATTGCAACTTGGCACGTTATTTGGCACGTTCCGTGGCGCGTCCTGTGGCGAGTCCCCCTGGCACGTCGCGCGGCGCGTCCCCTGGCACGTCCCGTGGCACGTCCATAATGCATTGGCACGTTCCGTAGCGCGTCCCCTTGGCACGTCCCGCGGTGCGTCCCCATGGCACGTCCCCTGGCACGTCGCCTGGCGCGTCCCTTGGAACTTTCGGCGGCGCGTCTTCCTAGCATGCCCCCCGTGAATTAGCTCTGGGGCAGCTACTATGTGCTCAGGCAGCTCGAGCTTAAGATCCAGATCAGTTCGGTTAGGACTCGGATGCAAAGGAGGACTCGATCCACAACGCTATAGAGCACAATCGTCACGTGGCACATCGCAGTTCAGCACGGCGCAGCACAGCACAGCCCGCGGCACGGTACATCAAGATCGATACACTCACTCAGCATTGCAACTTGGCACGTTCTTTGGCACGTTCCGTGGCGCGTCCTGTGGCGAGTCCCCCTGGCACGTCGCGCGGCGCGTCCCCTGGCACGTCCCGTGGCACGTCCATTGGCACGTTCCGTAGCGCGTCCCCTTGGCACGTCCCGCGGTGCGTCCCCGTGGCACGTCCCCTGACACCTCGCTTGGTGCGTCTCTTGGCACGTCCCGTGGCACGTCCATTGGCACATTCCGTAGCGCGTCCCCTTGGCACGTCCCGCGGTGCGTCCCCATGGCACGTCCCCTGGCACGTCGCCTGGCGCGTCCCTTGGGACGTTCTGCGGCGCGTCCTCCTGGCATGTTCCCTTGTCAATCAACTCTGGGGCAGCTACTAGTTATGTGCTTAGGCAGCTCGAGCTTAAGATCCAGATCAGTTCGGTCAGGACTCGGATGCAAAGGAGGACTCGATCCACAACGCTATAGAGCACACTCGTGGCATGGCACATCGCAATTCAGCACGGCACAGCACAGCACAGCCCTCGGCACGGTACATCAAGGTCGATACACTAAGCATTGCATTTGCCCGTCGCCCAATCAGGTGTCTTTGAAACGTTGCCATGTCTTACATTTCTATATTCCTTTCTGGGTTCGTGGGTCGATCATGTTTCTACCATTTTGGATCTTTTTATTATTCGTCGACAACTCCCTGTAGGGGGACACGCCCGACTTAATTCTAGCGCCTTGCACACGTGTTCCCACAGCCTTCGAAGTTGAATTTCCCAGCTCTGCAAGCTCCATGTCCAAGCCCCGCAAGCCGAATTTCATGGCTGCCTCGGCTGGCTTAGTAGAAACCGTCTTAGCCGATAAGCAGAATTTCTCTCGGACCTGCCTGCTCGGGCTTGCTGGAGCGTGTTTCTTTCCTGCTTGGGGCATGAAGAGCATTATAGCCCCCGTCCCCCCCCCCCTCCCCCCCCCTTTAACGTAACGCCCCTCCCCCACCAGTGCGCTCTGGGCACTGCCGCCGTGCGCATGGCGGGGGGGAGGCGCCGGGGAATAACACGGCAGGCCGGCTATGGCGGTAGCAGGCCAGCCGCGCACCAAAGAAGTATCCGACTCGCTGCGGAGCGACACCCGCGTCGCGATGGCCGACCCCATGACGCTGGGAAGTATCGGCCGGGAGCTCATCCTCGACATCGCGGAGGGGAAGCTCGCCTACGAACACCCCGCAGTGACGTTGAACGATGAACGTCGCAAGAAGACGCTGCCGAGCTGCCGCGGCAATTTCAACGGGGACAACGACGACGCCACTGGGCAACCCACTCGGCGTCACATGTCCGGACTATGCAACGAGCGACGGGCACATCGCTAATTGCGCACTCGAGTGCGACACAGCCCAGCAGGAAGAGAGACGTGCAGAGGTTTGCATTTTGTGAACTGTGGTCGCGAACGCGACGCAGCAAGCGAGAGTGATATCCCAAGAGTGAGGCGTGCCAGTCAGAGTGCTGTCGCCGCGAAATATGTTTGCGGGGCGGCAGGTTTCGGATTGTAGAGCATGCAGGTGGGCGATTGCGTGCTCCGAATGCATATGTGCCACCAGGCAATTTTTATTAGGGACCCTGCCAGAAGAGGGTCCTCTGTGCCAGCCTGCATCTCCCGTGCACTATTGCACATGAGGGGCATGGCCAGCATAACGACCTTTCAGCGTAGCTTATCATTTCGCTTCGCTGGTTTGGGTGTGGCTTGCACACCTGAACTGGCGAGGCATTAGCAGACTCA